GTGACAATTTGTAGTTAGCGATAATGGAATAAAAAAGTAATAGAGTTAATATGAACACTCAACTGTGTAGGCTACTAGGCCATATGAAAACAATGTAAAGATAAGATGTATCATGATTTACTTTTAAATTTTTTAAAAAGCATTTAAGTGAATCAATGATTTCAGTAAAAGTAGTTAGTTTCAAGAAAATAGTAAAACTTTTCCGAAGAATAAAACCATAACACTTCAGGAAATTAGATAAATAAAATAGTCAGTAAAAAAAACAAAAAGACTTCATGAAAAATCGTTCATTGAATAATTATACACGTGCATATAGAAAGAACGTTGAATAGGCGCTTGTGATACATTTGTAGATCCTGTGAATATTCAAGGAGAAATAACAAAATGGGTTAACAAGAATAAAACGATTTAGTAACTACGCAAATTATTAGTGTTAGTCCGCCAACATGGATATCAATGGCCAAATCATGAGTTCCATCAAATAAAATTAGATGCATCTTAGGAAGTGTGTAGGCAAAATATGCATATATACCTATATTTTTATGATTAGTAAAATTACGATTTACGATTTTTCTAGATATACCATCTTTAAATGGTTTATAGTTGGACTAAAAGAAAGTCTGTTTACAATGAATCGAAGAAAATAGTTAATTTTATAATATGTTAATTAAATGAATGCGATGCTTCTAGTATGCCAGTTCATCTTGCAGAAGTAGTTCATATGTAGACAGCAAAGCAACATGTGCTCAAAATAACTGCTTCAAATTCTTTCCTTATGTCTATGTATCCACGTTCTCCTTAGATCACTAAAAAGATTCTCTTGTCTGTGTAGTAAATTGCATTTACCAAACTAAATAGGAAGGTGTTTGGGCAAAACTCACCAAAAGAGTGATAAATTGAAATGGTATAGCATAAAAGCTAACATTATATCAATTATACTTTTTATTATTTAGATTTTACTACATAACGGTGAAGATTGGCTTAGAGATTATATTAGGAATGCTGAGGGTAAGCACAATAAATTTTATTGTAGCCTAAAAATTTGAAAAAATAATCGAAATATGGCTCTAAATAAAATTAAGTACGATTGCAAAAAATGAGCGGTAAAGATTATAAATGTTATTTTATCCTTATGAGCCAGCCTATCAAAAGTAAAAATTGATGTAAGTTGTAAAAAGTTTAATAGTTCCCATCTACAGATTAATAACAACCAATGGTGATGTTGGGTTAATGATATCTTATCTATCATAAAAGTATAGGATTCAAATCCAAATCAAACGCTAAATGTCCTACCAAAATAATTAGCCAAATGAAAGTAAACAGTAAAGTATAATTCAATGAGAATTATGAAGAGCAAAATAGTGTATGCTTTTGTTTGATCACAGGCCCCTCTAGCTGTAGTATTGGTTTGACCTTGTTTTTGCAATTTGGTCGAGGCAACAAGGAAGCCTTGCGGAACGTACCTAGTCCCGCGTCTTCTGCCATAGTATTAATGACTGCCCGCATCGGGCCGTTGACTTGATACATTCAAACGTTTCGCCAGCATAGTAATAGGTATAAAGGCGAAGTGATAAATGATTCCACAACGATTAAAATGAAAATTGGTCAAGGGGGTATTCTTAATTTGTCACTGAGATAAGTTGTAACTGTTAACGATGACGTCTCTCACTGACGATGCCGGTGAAACGTTTGCCAATGTATGAAGAAAACGGCCCGATGCTGACAGTCATTAGTACTATGGCAGAAGATGCAGGACCAGGTACGTTCCGTAAGGTTTTACTGATACCTCAAACAAATTGCAAAAACAAGGTCAAACCTTGAACAAGCTATTTAATCGGCCAAAAATTAATAGGGTATGTGATAAATGCTAAGTGATATAAATTATAGAAAATAACAACCGAATTTCAGAAAACATTTAGATATTTGTTCTAAACGAAATTCCATTGCTTTCTCAATTAAAGAATTGATTTATTTTTAATTGCTAAGTGCCAAAAAAACGATAATAAATCATAATAACAGTTTTATGAAAGGTATATATTGTTTCCGTCTTAAAAAAGTAAAATAGTATACCTTTTGGGATTAAAGTAAACATCGCCCCAGAGCCGCTTGGAAAATTCGTTAGTATCTACTTCAAAATTATAGGTTTCCGAATAGATCTTTGCAAATGATTCCAAAGTAAATGAAAACCGGTAATATGAACTGGCAAAGCAAACATTTCCAAGGCGAGGACTGACGGCAGCTGATGGTTCTGAACTTTTGCCTGCCAACAAAAAAGACATTATAGAGATTACACAAAAATAATTATAAATAAGTCGCATTAGAACTAAGGTGCTTGCCTAAAAAACAGTTAGTTCCATACTTTCGCTTGTGGAAGAAATATTAAATTCAAAATGAAATTAGAAGAGAATAAGAGATTACCGTTTTTAGATGATATGATTGTTAAAGAAAATGGTTTATTTTCTTTCTAAACATAATTGAAAAAGTAAGGTTGGTATTTTAAAACCTGTGCTTATTAGGGGTGAGGCTTGCGGATGGAAATCATCTGGCCTAGCAGTTAGGACAGAAAATACTTTGCTGGAAAATAAGGTAGAAATATAATTTTAAACCGAGACTATTTGGTCAAAGGTAGGGAGACTAAGACTCTTTTTCATATCCATATCATCCCGTCACGCCTACTTTCTAAAAAAAGCGAATTGATTAGGAAGGGGTGGTAATATAACTGTTTGCTAGAACCGGCACTTTCTTCAGTAAAGCCTTCTTTTAAGGAGAAATATGACCTATTATCAATCTAGCCATTAACTTTCCAAAAGGAGCACGGCCTTCAAAATCATTGGAGATTCAAGTAGCGAATAACTTAGTCGAATCCATGCAAAGCTATTAAGTTCGCAAATGTAGTGACCTAAGGACTTGCACATTCAGAATGATTCAAATGCTCGAATAAAAAAGCCAATTTAGTGAATCAGCAAACGTACTATGGTAGAGGCAACTGCATAAGTAATCGAATTCAAAGTTGCCATATAACAAAAAGGCAAGAACTCTAGAGAAATAGGCATCATATGAATTGGCAAGATAGCTTTGAGAGCAGCATTAATTTTCTCATAGAAATAGAACCCAATAGAACTATTTTATAGTTGAGTAGCGCACCTATTCAGCCTACTTATCAGGGGAATGCAACGACCGAAGCATCTTTCGAGTATTGTAAGCTAGTAAGATGCTTGTGAGTATCATACTAAATAGGAGATAATTTCAACTTTGAGCAGTCATTTTCTAATCACCTCTGGTTTCAGAATCCTATATAGGTAATATAAAAGTTGATACGATAAACCAAGGATTAAACTAAATTAACTTGACCCAAATTAGTTCATAAATACGCTCGCCAAAGGCCTCTTACCTGAACAAGGATGATTCAAAGGCTTTCTTCCAACTGTGTTCATTGTGGGAAATTGACTTTCGCAGTGTCACTGCTCTTCATTTATGAGACGGATATAATCAGACATTTAAAAATAAATCACCTTATTCTGCCCCTAGAAGATCTGTGTGGTCACAAGTTTTTATTGCGTAAAAATTTGGCCACACTTATCTTCTTACTAGCACGCAACACTTTCAATGCCTAGATGGAAAAGGTAGATAAGAAGTCACGACCAGAATTGCCCTTATAGGACAAGCATACTTGTACTTGCAAATGGGAACTAAAAATAGTATCATGAAAAAGTCGGATCACAAATGGTTCGTACCTCCTGATTCACAGAATGTATAAGAATTGGGGTTTAAATAGACATTTAGCTCTTTTAATAAATTGCAGCGTCTGATAAGAAAATAAAGACTGATGTCGAATATCATCACGAGTAAAGTAGATACATCCAAACTTCGCGAACCGACATAGCAAATGCTTGAAACCGAGAGTTCATCAGAAATATTTTTGCAATATCAGCTAAAGCGATAGACATGGTTCTTTAAATAGCGAGGTTTATTTTTTTTAATTAGTCTGGAGCAAGATAACAAGGAGGGTAACGCATCTGGCTTGATACATAAGACAGATTTTTTTGTGAGAAGCCAGCTGACACCATATAACTAAAGAATGTAACAAAATATTATATATTATTAATTCACTTATTCGATCAGCACAATTGCAGAAACAAATCATCACATAACGTCATAGCTACAGTAGGAAGAATAATGTTTATGAAAGAAATATACAAGCACGAAATAAAGGTTTTAGTGGAGAATAGCGAATGCTAGCATGACATGAAAAGATAAAATCGCACCGAGAAATCTTAACGGATAGGCCTATCAATTTTAAGAGTTGATAACCTCAACGTGTAATAATAATACAATAAATGGTTAAATTGTAGAACCATGCTATAGCGTAATAAAAGGGTATAATACAAATGAATAGACAAATACGAATGAGTCCATAATGGAATTCCAGATCGCCTATATGGCTGCTGAAAGAAAAATATATCGAGCGAATGCACTCTAAGTGACCAATGATGTTAGTATAGACTAGCAATGTTCACATCCAAAGCTCCGCGAAGAAGTTCGACATTATTCAACCTAAAGATGGGAAGATTTTCCTCATTCTAGATGATAATAACAAATGAATTTCGTGTGGATAGACTTTCCAGAGTTAAATGTAGAAAATGTTAGAGCTAAATAGACTGACTTACCAATCCCCTCGGCGTACGTCATTATCAGAGTATTGACTTCATCGATCACATGCTTAAGTTTATAGTATACATCAGAGGGCGGTAATTTCAGCTCTAAAAGAAGGCGGTCGATTTTATTCACACATAATGTAATAGGTAACCGTTCCTGAAGAGCATGCTTGATGAGACGATCCGTATTCATTAAGACACCCTCACTTGCATCGACAAAAAGGCATATACCATCACTCAGTCTGAAAGCAGCAGTAACTTCGTCAGAAAAATTTACGTGACCTTAAGGCAAGAAGTAAAACGTGAAAAATCTCAAGTTATGAAAAAAAATAGTTAAACACAAAAAAATGTAAAAGCATGTATGCACCTCTAAAATGGGCACAGAAATCCTGAGTAGAACTCTATCATAGAGTTGTTTGGCCTTATTTTCGCAATATGCTCATATTGGTAGGAAGACTTATTGAAACGCACCTAGTCCGGGGTCCATTGTCTGCATGATCATTTCCAAAGTCGAACCATGGACATGGTACATTCCCAAACGTTTCGTAGGCATCACCATTCTTAGCACCACACAGCAACTCGTCAAAGAGACAAGTGAAGCCCATCCTTTGACCAAACTTGTGCTAAACAATCGTGGTGTCTCCCCTACTACCCTGGATCGACTTTACTTGTCTCCTTGACGAGTTGTTGTGGTGCTAAGAATGGCGATACTCACTGACGATGCCGGCGAAACGTTTGGGAATGTACTACGTCCACGG